GTAGGCTATAGCATCGTCCGGTTCAGGAAGCTGATAAACATGGTCTAGCTGTGCATTTCGCAAATCTAGTAAAAAGAGTCAGGATTAAAAGTTTTGAAATTTCTAAATTTAACTGCGATATGTTTATCTTTAGGTGTTTTAAAACCAATTTTTCGCCCATACACAGCATACAGGATAATGATCGCTAATAGCCGTAGCGGGGACAGAACATTCAATAATATTTTTTGGGTGAGAGACATATATATGATCAATTAGTGTTGAGGATGTTTCTGTAACTCTAGTGGGAAAGTTAATTAACTGTTTGAGGTTATATGAAAGAATGATATCTTCCCATGTCTGGTTAGGTTTATTTATGTCAATGTTAAAATCGCCAAGAAGAATAATTTCTTTCCCTACACTAAAATAGATAGATAGATAGATAGATAGATAGATAGATAGATAGATAGATAGATAGATAGATAGATAGATAGATAGATAGATAGATAGATAGATAGATAGATAGATAGATAGATAGATAGATAGATAGATAGATAGATAGATAGATAGATAGATAGATAGATAGATAGATAGATAGATAGATAGATAGATAGATAGACAGACAGACAGACAGACAGACAGACAGACAGACAGACAGACAGACAGACAGACAGACAGACAGACAGACAGACAGACAGACAGACAGACAGACAGACAGACAGACAGACAGACAGACAGACAGACAGACAGACAGACAGACAGACAGACAGACAGACAGACAGACAGACAGACAGACAGACAGACAGACAGACAGACAGACAGACAGACAGACAGACAGACAGACAGACAGACAGACAGACAGACAGACAGACAGACAGACAGACAGACAGACAGAGAGACAGACAGAGAGACAGACAGATAGACAGATAGATAGATAGATAGATAGATAGATAGATAGATAGATAGATAGATAGATAGATAGATAGATAGATAGATAGATAGATAGATAGATAGATAGATAGATAGATAGATAGATAGATAGATATAGATAGATAGATAGATAGATAGATAGATAGATAGATAGATAGATAGATAGATAGATAGATAGATAGATAGATAGATAGATAGATAGATAGATAGATAGATAGATAGATAGATAGATAGATAGATAGATAGATAGATAGATAGATAGATAGATAGATAGATAGATAGATAGATAGATAGATAGATAGATAGATAGATAGATAGATAGATAGATAGATAGATAGATAGATAGATAGATAGATAGATAGATAGATAGATAGATAGATAGATAGATAGATAGATAGATAGATAGATAGATAGATAGATAGATAGATAGATAGATAGATAGATAGATAGATAGATAGATAGATAGATAGATAGATAGATAGATAGATAGATCCACATGCAAACTGACAGATAGCTGACTGATTCATTGACCACTTATTCATTGACTGATTGATTCATTAACTGATTGGTTCATTGACCGATTGATTCATTGACTGACTGATGCATTGACCACTGATTCATTGACTGACTTATTCATTGACCACTGAATTATTGACCACTGATTCATTGATCGATTGATTCATCGACCGATTTGTCTACAACATTATTACAACTGTTTCTACAGGGTGTACAGCCTGGACATTCTGATCAACAAACTTGGTCACTGTGGGCGGTTCCAAGTTGTTTTTGTCGCCCTTGGCATTAATCCCATGCTGCCAGCGGCCTGGAGCCTGGTTTTCATGATGTTTGGCATCTACAACCCTGGTATACAATGTGGAGATGACTCACTTCTCAACGACACCACTTTCCCATGGAATACAAGGAACACAACTGGCCAAGCTGAAGGGAACTGGAGTGATCAGATACAAACGCCTTGTAGTTGTGATTCATTGGCGAGCAATAAGAGCTGGACTTTTAGCAAGATAGCTTCTACAGTAGTTTCAGAGTGGAGTTTGGTTTGTGGTGATTCGTGGAAGGGCTCAACTATCATATCCATCCAGATGGTTGGGGCGTTGTTAGGATCGTGTTCGGGCGGGCAGATCGGAGATAGATTTGGTAGAAAGTTCAGCATTCACGGCGGAGCGGCTCTGCTTGTTATTACCAATTTTATAGCGGTGTTTTCAGTCTCCTGGGGGATGTACGCTGCTGTCAGATTCTTCATCGGATTTGCAGCTGGGAGCATGCTGTCAACTATCCCGGTTTACTGTCTTGAATTTGTCCCTGGCTCCTGGAGAGGAATAACCGGAACTTTTCCGTTTTGGTCTCTGTCTACCTTAGCATTTTCTATATGTGTCATGATACTGAGAAACTGGAGGTACGTCCACTTGGCTACTGCATTTTTTGCCCTACTCTCATTTCTGCCCGTGTTTTGGCTTCCAGAAAGTATGCGAATTTTGACGATTCATGGAAATTTGAAGGGGGCAAACAAAGTTGTCCAGAAAATTGCCAGGCTCAATAGAAAACCAGTGCCAGATACGTCCGTCATGGCGACAATTGCAGAGGTGGAAAGGAAGTCGCTAATGGAGAGGCCAAGTTACAATTATCGCGATCTGTTCCATAGCAGCATACGAAGGTACACTATTGTCATGGCAATGATGTGGCTCACTCTGACTATCTCCAACAACACAGTTGGGTACGGTCTGAAGGCATTCACTGGGGACTACTTCGTCAATTTTATAATATTTTCGGCCTTACCGATCCCAGCCAGACTGTTTGTAGTAATATTGACATCAAAGGTCGGCAGGAAGACCATCCTGGCTGTGAGTATGTGTCTAGCCTGTGTGTTCTCGTTTCTGATAGTCGGCATACAGTTGCTGGCACCTGCTGAAGTCGTTGGCACGTCGACAATAGCTCTGGCCTTCGCCTCAAATATGATCATAGAAATTGGATGGGCCATGTCTCCACTGATCGTCGCTGAACTGTTTCCCACGGGTGTCAGAAATATGGCCTATGCTTTCTGCAATATTCACGCCAGAATTGGGTCGATCATAGCTCCGTACATGCTTCCGAATCACTCGCTTCCCATTTGGGTTCTCTTTCTTGTTATAGGCGTTCTTATCCTGATATGTTTCGTTTCTGTTCTGACTTTGCCAGAATCAAAAGGCTGGGTTCTTCAAGAAAATCTTATGGTGAAAGCACCAGTAGAAGCAATAGCAGAGACAAAGGACAGCGAGGTCGCCAGTAATGTTTGAAAAAATGCAAAGAGTATAAGGATATGTATATATACTTCTTACTGATATAATTGGTTCTATGCCATTTTTCTGTCTTTCCAGACGATGTTATATTGTGTTTTTTGGGATGCATGCGAATCACAACCCATGGCGATGGCGAGTGTGATGAGCAGAATCAGCGTGCTTGAAGAATAGTCTTCTATAATTAGAGCATGGAATTTCAGGACCATTGGTAGAGAGCAGCAAAGAGATTTCTGCAGCCACTACTGTCAGTGGAGGCTCTTCGTGTCAAGGACCACACCCACTGGGGTCATCTCAGACCATACACAGCAGACTGGCCATGATTACACTTAGACTGGTAATACTTCCTGCTCGGGGTTTGGCCGTTTCATCGTTCGCTGACTTCAAACAAGAATAGCCCTGCTCTAGTAATGACTGATCATATTTCTGGGCAAAGCGATGGCAGAATACAGTGAGAACAGTCTGTTGACAGCCTTTCATCACAAACTGGAAACATATCTGCTGAAGAATTGGTTTACATTATGGAGACTGCGAGATCCTGACACGTGTGATCAGCCATGACAGTTGGCGAGAGGTTTGTCCAAGAGTAAGGGAGTTTATTCTACCGGTTAGTCAAACATCTGTCATGTTACCACCCCTTTCTACTTGTAGGGAATACGGTAGTAGGACAAACAGTCAGTCCACTTGATTGCACTTGTTTCAACCTTGGCTCTATCCGCGTGGAAACTGGCAACAACAGACAAAGACATTTTAAAGCCGTGATTGCTAGCTACTTCGACTTGATAAGCTCTTTTTATAATCCCTTTTTTAAGCAGCGCCCGTCATGTCTACCTTACCCAATGTTTTACAGGTTAATGGTGTTAAAATATGAATGAATGAATAAATGAATTAATTAATTAAGAATTGACACCACTGCACTAGGGCCATTCACACACGGACTCCCTCTCTTTCTTGTATTACCTACGAAATGTCAAAATGTGATTAATACCAGTTGCAACCTGATTGAAAGTCTGCCTATGTTTCCCCGTTAGTGTTGCTTATCTTCCAGACCAACCACTCACACCTTGTTTGGATGTAAAGATTCTTTATGTGTTCCTTTGCACTGTCAATTTGATCGTGAGAGCATTCACCTTGTCCGATTTATCATAAATTAACTCACTACTCAGTGCTCCAACAGCAGCCAATATATCAGCTTTCTCGTTACCCCACACACCCGAATATCCTAGACAGACAATGCACACGATGCTCTTGATCTGTCCAGTAAAGTGATGCAAGTCACTCCAGGAGCGGACCTCAGTTTCAGTTCCCCAAAGCACGCTCTCTGAGTCTGTTACAATGACGGCATATTGATGATGCTTCTCCCAAGCCAAAGGAAAGCGCAGTGACTACCTCCACCTCCATTCTCATGGATTATGTGACATTATGCGACGGTTCTCTGTTTTCCATTCACCTGAGAAGTAATGTCAAGGAGCGAAGCACAGGCAGTAGTTAGTAAGTGAATTTACAGCAAAGCGATGTCTAAGCATCTTCACAATGAAATTCTATTTTAAGAAGATTGAAATGTACCACAATAGACAATGATTTTTTCCCCATTATGCCAGTACAGGAGTTATTGTCAGAACTTGATCATACTTTTATGAAGCAGCCTAGGGGTCCTTGTAAGTGCACGTAGAACCCTTAGAGCTTCATGAAGCACCGGTTGCGAGCCGTTGTACTAAGGAAATTAGATTATAAATATCTCAAGCAAAGGCAGCATTTCAAAGCATGAAGGATATTCTATGCAATATTTCTTGTCCATTGTCGCTAGGAGAGCGTTCGTAACAGTTAAATAATTCAAATCCTGATGTATACGGATGTGGATCATGGACCATTAGATGATTGATGAAAGATTGTGTGGCAGCACAAGGAATGGTGAGTTTTATAGACGAAAGACATTATACAAAACACAATGAACAGATAACAAGAGTAATGAAGATGTCTTGAAAGAAATGAACCCACGAAGAGAACTGATTGTCTACATCAGGGGGAGACAATCTAGGTTTTGAGGTGCCGTCATGAGAAGGAGAAAACTGGATTACATCGTGAACTCGAGAAATTTGGGAGAGAAAAGAGGCGAAAGGAGACCGTTAGAGAAAATGCTGAGCATTATATACGCCATGGTAGATCATCTATGTCAGAAATTACTGCAAGTACACCAGACAGAGAAAAACATGGTGGTGAAACGGCTGGATGCTAGCCTGCTGATCGGAAGGTCACCGGTTCAAGTCTGACAGATCCGGACATTGTTTCCAAATTGATCTAGGCTCCCAGGTCGACAAAGCTTCACATGGCTACCAGGCGTAAACCTGGAAAGAAAAGGCGGCCGGCGTAATGTTAATTTCGCCACATTAATCACCCAGTGCCGATTGGTCTATAAAATAAGTCTAGCCCTATATGCCCGGTACGGCTAAAGGATTGGAGCACGGTTCTTTACATTTTATTTTACACGAAACAGAAGGCCGTGAATAGCTGTGACTGCCAACACTACACGACAGGGACTATAAAACAAAATAAGGGGCCTTATCCGAAGACCATATTGATATTGTTATTTCACATGTTGCCCAAATTATTTACACCTCTATTTGTTTATTCTATAAATGTTATACATGACTATTGACTCCAACAAACATACATGATGAAATAAAGTTTACTAACACCAGCACATAAGGTTATTGTTTGTTATGCAATATGTGTGTACATATGTATTTATACATTTATATTTGTTAGTTAGTTTATGTGTTTATTCATATGTGTTTCTCCATATGTTTTTACATATGTGGGTGCATATGTTTCTGCTTGTTTTTGTACAACTGTTTGCATATATAATTGTACATATGTTTATGCATAGGTGTGTAAATATGTTTGTACATATGTTTGTACACGTGTTTGTACATATGTATGTATACATTTGTTTTTGCACGTGTTGGTACATATGTTTGCAGATATGTTTTAAAATGTGTTTTCAAATATTATTGTACATATTTTAATATACATCCGTTTGTTCATCTGTGTTTGTACATATATTTGAACATATGTTATATGTGTTCGTAAATATGTCTGTAGTTTTTACATATGTTGGTACACATATTTATACATGAGTTTATAAATTGTTTAGTTATATTTGTTTGCTTTATGTGTTTTTAAGATGTGTTTGTATATATGTATGAACATATGTTTGTACCTACATTTGTACATATTTTTATGCATATGTTTGTACTTATTTTTATACATATGTGTTTTTAACATGTGTTTGTAGATATGTGTGAACACATGTTTGTGTCTGTGTTTGTACATACGTGTTTGCTTTTGGTATCAAAAAACGTTGTTGAAGAAAGCACGCTCGACGTTGGCTATAAAACTTAGTGTGTCGGCACTGACTTCAAGCAACGCTCCTAGAAACGTATACTTAAAAAAAAAAAAAAAAATCTCTACACTAAAATTCTCAAACTGACAAAAGTTCCAAAGCAAAACGGGTAATTTATGGTCTTTAAAGAACTGAAGCTCGCTCGAAAATAAACTAGAAAGCTGATAACTGCAAAAAGCAACAGCTGCCACAAGGGGAAAAAATGGCTAAAAAACTTGAAAAGTGATTCACTTTACTCAGTTCTCCTGTATATACCCTACTTTAAGAAAGCTTTACAACTGCCGATAACCACATGCAGAGAACAGACGACTGCCTATCTCTGGATGCTGCTAAACAAACTCTTTCAGACTCTGTTCTCTGCAACTCATTTCCGTATTACAATCAACCAGTCCCAGTATGGGAGGCAATATTTCCCTTTTTTTTTAAAGGCCCCCACCCGGCTGTAGTCGAGGGCCTACTATAACCAAAGGGTTGAATGGGGTTTCTGGGACTTGTGCTGGGGTGATCCTCACCCGAATGGGGGCACTTTGTGTCACCAGGTGTTGATCGCTTGTTGTAAGTTCCTGGTGAGTTTAAATCACATACGTACATATCTCATTCCGTTCTTCCAAATTAAAAGAAGAAAGTTGGACCATTTCGCTGTTTAACTGCGATCATCTACAAACACACAATACAAGTTAAGACTGGCTGGTCAAGCCGGTCAGTTTAGGAAGATGGTCAAATATGGAGGCCAACTAAAGAGGTGCTACTGTATGAGAGAGAGAGAGAGAGAGATGGAGAGAGAGAGACAGAGAGAGAGACAGAGAGAGAGAGATAGAGAGAGAGAGATAGAGAGAGAGATAGAGAGAGTGAGAGAGAGAGAGAGAGCGCAAAACAATTGTAACATCTTCCCTTTCCACCACTTAATTGTGTGACTGGAGGAAATAAAGATGAAGAAGGAGGAGGAGATGAAGAAGAAGAAGATGAAGAAGGAGAAGCAAAGGGATGCAAGGAGAGAGGAGGAAGACCAGATGGAGGAGGAGGAGGAGAAGAAGAAGAAAAAGAAGAAGAAGAAGAAGAAGAAGAAGAAGAAGAAGAAGAAGAAGAAGAAGAAGAAGAAGAAGAAGAAGAAGAAGAAGAAGAAGAAGAAGAAGAAGAAGAAGAAGAACAAGAAGAAGAAGAACAAGAAGAAGAAGAAGAAGAAGAAGAAGAAGAAGAAGAAGAAGAAGAAGAAGAAGAAGAAGAAGAAGAAAGATGAAGAAAGAAGAATAAGACGACGACGAGGACGACAGAATCACTACTTAGGTGTAGAGGTAGCAAACGAAGGAACTAAAGAAAGAAATACGTCCAAAAGAAACCCTATATCGAACGCTGATAAGAAAGACCAAAGCTGCAGGACTGATTTTCATCAATGATATCAAAAGATTTGCACAGAATAGAATGAAATGAAGAAACTGAATAAGAACCACACAGGTTGATTAACCGACATGACACGATGATTAAGTTGAGTGTAATCCGACGATTGATTAACCGACATGACACAATGATTAAGTTGAGTGTAATCCGACGATTGATTAACCGACATGACACGATGATTAAGTTGAGTGTAATCCGACGA